TGAGATCAAAAAAAAAATTTACCATTTAGCCACTGATTAAAAAAAGTTATGAATTGCACTGAGATTGCAATGACGGTACCAAAATTGTAAAACCATCATACGTCACTTTGGGACCCATTCATAAGGATACCAAGCACATTATGTACCAAAAGAATCCAGACTCTCTGCAGAACACTATTAGTTTACAAACAAATGTCACTTGCTAGTGCTACAAGAGGAAAGACAACACAGGAAGTGACATTTAAAAATACACAACTGATAAACGATATCGCAATAATACAATGATGGTACACAAAAATGAACCATGGTCGACCCAAACTCAAACAAAGACTGTCATCTTCTTGTGAAAAACAGCCACATGCCACAAAGCAAGCGAAGGATCAGTTGCATGTCCTTTATTGTTGTTTATGAGGTTGTTCATCACATTTAAACATGTGGAAAGCACAAGGGGTTCTGCATCCTCTCTACATCTGTGCATGCTTAGCAAATCTGAAAACCTATTACTCCCAGGAAATGAGTTATTAAAACAGAGAAGAGCAGAATAAAGAGAGCTCACAAAACTGGTGCTGTGACCCGGATAGGTATGAGATTTGGGAAGTGTAATGAATGATAGCTAGGAAGAGCTTAGCATATATCACTGTCCTTGGTGGCTGAAGGAGGGTGGGGGACTTCGGGTACAGGCGTTTTTAATTTTAGTGCCCTCTCCATGGACAGCATACTAAATATGCATAATTTTTTCTCTATTTATAATATTTGTGAACTTGTGAAATGCCCACTGTGATCATACTAATCATTGCCATTTAGGATATAAGATTCTGTGACTGTTTAAACCGAAATTGCAATCTTTACTGATTAATCATGCAGAATCTGCAAATAGTATCAAGGAGTCCTGACTGTAACTAAATAAATGTGCTTTGTGAAATTTTGTGGCTGGTCTGAGTAGATTTTATTAGAGGTCACAATATTGGAAATACCAATTTTCCTAACTGATAAAGCCTGTTGTTTCTGTTGTTTAAAGCACTTGTTTGAAGCTCATTTTGAGTTTGAAGCAATGTGTTTACTTGGTCATCGATCTTAATCATGCGACTACTAAACAGTGTTGTGAGATCTGTGGAGAAACACTGGACTTCAGCAAAATGTTCTCAGATACAAACCACAAATGTCTCAGTGATTTAATCTAATTGAAATCCAGATGAAAGTGCTGACATTCTCAACAGCTCTGACAAGGACAACAGGAGAAACATTATGCCTTGACGATCCTTTACAACCCACAAATCGACAACATTTATCATGGATTTACTGCAGCACGCAGGAACTATAGTGCTACGGAAGAAATGTGTAATTTTAATATCAAATTTTATTTCAATATTAAGCTAGACATGTTGCATGTATCCAAGGAGCAATGCATATAATTTCACCATGCATTATTATTAAGACATATCCGTTGTTGTGAATTTACCTTTATACACAATGTCTTTAATATATATGTATGTATGTATATATATATATATATATATATATATATATATATATATATATATATATATATATATATATATATATATATATATATATATATATATATATATATATATATGGTATTTCATACAAAACCATATAGTTTGGCAACCTTTTACCATGGTAGTGAGGCTATAAGTGTTTTTAATGATTTACATGTATAATTAGATTTTTGTTGAGATTTTTTTTAATCGATTTACATCTGCCATATCTGCATTTCTAAAAGACAATTCTTTATATTATTAATATCACGTACAGCATCTGTGAACACTGGTGCCTCTGCTCTCAGATATTAGCCTGCAGGCCTGGAATCAACTCTTTAGTTGACTGTGACAGATAACTACTCTTCTGTCATGAGGCAATTTTTGTTCTGGGTACCCTTAAATAACACTTTTGCGAAACTTACAAATTAAAATCTGACAGTTCTGAGCTTAATGACTTTTGCAGGCTCACGGTTATATTTTCCCCTGCAGTCTGGAAAGAGAAAAAGCATACAAGCCACGTGTGCTTGGCTGAAGCAACACACCACTAAGTTTATACTGCTCACTGCAGACACACACTTGTCTTAAACACCGACTACCAGTTGCTGTAGACAACGGTAGTGAATCACTTAGACATTTGACTGTCGGCACAAAGTCTGGTGCACACTGTTGATTATTTCACTCAAGAACTGCCAAATTTCAACAGGAAAAGTCCTTATGCAGTAGGGCTGCACAATATATCGTTTTAGCATCGATATTGTGTATATCACAACGCATGATCTGAAATGTTGATTTGAGATTATTTTTGACCAGGAGCCACAGATCAGAACATGGAATCATTGGAGATTTTTACTGTAAAGGAGCAAATGTTTTTCATTTACATGTTTTTAAGGCTTGTGACCGTATGAGCTTAGGATGAGTTGTATGAGTTTAAAGCAGTTAGGTACAGGGAATTGTACCATTTGAAATTTTAATAAAATAATTTTATTTAATTATTCATACAATGAAGATGCTATGTAGTTAGGGCTCGCAATACAATTTGAAACGATTAGTTTAGTTACGATTACGATTAGTTTAATGCAAGAGGCAGCGATATGAAATATATATCTGTATTATTTCATTTCCCCCGCCCAGAGCAAATGCATGACTGTTGTTTGTGTGTGATAGTCCTATTAGCCAATTACGTGAGCACAGTTTCGTTCTGCCCAATCAGAATTGCACAACCAAACTATACGAAACGCCCACAAAAAAAAAGAAAACAAACAGGAAAGCGTTGACAAATGGGATGATGTCGTCTACCGCTTCAGTAGCATTAATAGACAAAAAATAAAAAAAAATAAAAAATAAATATATATATATATATATATATATATATATATATATATATATATATATATATATATATATATATATATATAAATATCAAAGAAAAACTGCTTCATTAATATGGGAATATTTTGGTTTCAACATCACAGACACAGAACAAAAACATTTGTAAGAGCTGTCACAGAATTGTTCCCACAACTTACAGATTATTGAGCTGAATCTTGATTACAAAATTAAATCGCTAATTAATTGCAATTAAATGTTTTCCCCAAATCACACAGCCCTATATGTAGTGCTAATTTACATTTGATTATTAAACTTGTGTACTTGAATTCTTACCAAATAGTGCTATTTAGGTCATCTGGTGAAATTAGTCATATCGCAATATTTATTGCAGAAAAAAACAACTTAATGTCATATTTTTCATGCAGCCCTGTTATACAGGTTGACTCCAGGATATCTCCTAAATAGTATGCAATGATATTTCTGAAACTATCAAAATGCAACTTCAAAGTGAAATTTATGAGAGAACTAAAGTACTAAATTAAAGCCATGCTGCTTAAAATATAAATAACAAGAAAGAAAAAGAAAAAATACAAGTATTGTCATAGTAACTGACTGACTAATTCTAATAAAATATTTTAAATATTTAAACTTAAAACAGTATTTTAAGCTTATTAAGGTAAAATTTGCACTTCACATATATATTGAAACATTTTTTATTATTATTATTTATTTTTTGTTAGTATTTACTTTTATGGTCATTTATGTTCATTACCTTTTTTTCTCAAAGCATAGAAAATTCTGCAAATTCATGTTTAATAAAACCATAATGATCATCTTTTTTGTTTTCTTATTATTCTTTATACTTAAAGATGACCAATAAAATCACACAATGTTTAAAAATACAAATTTCAATTCAAATAGTAAATAACATACTGATTTTAACCTCTTTATTTTTATTTATTTATTTATTCATTTATTTTATTTTATTTTTTTGGAAAAACGATTTAGGGTTTTGGTAACACTTTATTTTGATGGTCCATTTGAGTCTGCTTAATATCTGTTGATACTGCTCCTTTAACATATTTAACTAAGAAACTTTACGAGTACATCAACTTAAACTAACCCCAACCTAACAGTCTACTTATAATCTAATGAGAATTAATTGGCATGTGCATGCAATGTAACTTAATTAAACAAACAGACCACCAATATAAAGTGTGACCACGGTTTCTAGTTAAAATTCATAAACATTTTGCTTATAAAAAAGTAAAAAAAATGGTAAATGGAAACATCCCATCAACACTGGCTATCACAACTTGGCAAAAAGGTGCATAAATGGAAACCCAGCCGTCTATTGCAGCAGCCTTGTAACTTGTAAAACCCAACTTTCAAACCTCATGTTCCTGTCCCCTCCGTCTATACAGAGCTGGTGGGTGTTTTGTTTGAGACTATGAGCCACTAAGGTAACATAAACCCCTGAAGTGAGTTACACGCATACTACACTTCCAGAAAAAGGTTTTAATGTGTTTTGAGGGTGCTGTCTGTGACACTTAATCCTTCGCGATACAGAGATAACCGTAGCCGTCCTGCTTCCACACAATGACACAGATGCTAATCTGGGATAAGGCTTATGGAGGTAATGAAGCCTGATTCTGTCAACAGCGTTTAGGGACATGAGATAAACAATGAGACTGCCAAGAAATAAACAGTAACTACAGTAACAAGATCATGTAAGTGCAAACATTTGAACAGAATTAAATTTTAAACTGTTTTAAACTCTTATATGTTTGACATTATGTGCTGCAAATAAGTGTGCGTGTGTGAAGCACTGTGCTGGCATTCATATAAAGTTGCTGCATCAGCTGTTTTTTTATTGATTGAGAAATCAAGCATGGAACATATTTAAACAAGATCATAAACATTGCGGCGTGAGGGCCTATTAGCAACAGGAAAACTTTACCACACAGTAAAAATCAAGCAAGGGCCTCGCTACATATAATTTACACATCTGTCATTCAACAAGCAACAAATGAGAAAGTAATTCCTAAACAATCTGATACAGCCTAAATTTACTGACTAGGCCAAACATCGAAAAGGGTGAAGATTGAGTACTTTTTTTCTCACCATTTTGAATTTATTGGAAAGGGAAAAAAGCATCTTGTTACTTACCTATGCAGGCATGGACTCTGACAGACAGCTGTGTTCTAAGTACAATACTGTGCTTCTTTCCTCTCCTGAGGAACAAACATAAAAACAAACATCAGACTGAAAGTCTAATATAAATAAGCTGGGTTAAAAGAACTGTGTTGACAAATGCTAATATGGTTTGGTTTTTGTTGACAACATCCATGCATAAGTAACATAAAAAAACGGCACAAAACAAAATCCATTTTACTTCGATTTGTTTTACATTATTTTGTTTTTTCTTTCATCACATAGCAAAGCAAAACTAACAAAAAAAAGCATTTTGCTTCGCTAAAAAACAAACAAACAAAAAAACAGGAATGCAATTTGTTTGCTTTTTACTTAATTTTTTTTTCTATTTTGATCAAGAAAAAAGGCTTCTTGCTTTGCCTTGTTTTTAAAAATAAAAATTAATAAATAAAATACCATTAAAGTTCAGTGAAAAGTGAATAAAAATAAATAATAATATAAAAATAGCCCTGAGTCATGATAAATGATTAAATAAACAACCTTCCCCCAAACGTTTCTTTGGAACTCCATATATAGCAGAGCATTTTAACACAACATAAAGCAACCGGCCTTATTTATTTAAATTTGAAGTAAAACTAAATGTTCCACAGCACTTCTGTTTACATCAATACCGATACAGTGTTGCATCTGCTTTTAAACTTAGGTCAGGTGAGCTAACCATAAAACTGAACTGTTTGATTTTTTTTTTCATGAATTTATTTTCCCAGTATGGGTTATTTGAACACAGGCTTTTAAGTACAGTCTGCCAGCCTTATGGCTTCCGGTTAATTGTTATCCTATACAAAACCGCCACGTTTAAGATCTGCTTTCTTAAAAAACAGCAATCTTTACTACCTGGCTGTTGATACAATTTAAAGTGGGTATCAGACCAAACAAGAAGCTCTGCATTAAACTATATTTTTAAGTGGCATATCTTTAAAATATGAAAATTTATTTTACCCCAGTATTTTCAATGAAATGTCGCTAATGACGGCGCCTGGGTTTAAACTGTCTTTTGTCTCCCTTTAAGTTTTAACAACCAAATGGATACTTAAGGCTATGTAACTGAATATTTAATTGACATTATAAATGTATAATTGTCTTATGAAATTGAAAATAGTCACATAAAGCTTTCACTGGAAATATATATATATATATATATATATATATATATATATATATATATATATATATATATATATATATATACATACATACACACACACACACACACACACACACACACACACACACACACATAAAGGCTCAACCTTTATGCTTTATGGCAACAGTGGCGACAGTGAGGTGACATCAGTTTGCTGTAAGTTTCTAACAGTACAATTCTGGCAACCACAGCTGCCTTTTTTACATTGTACTGTAAAAGCTGATCAAATTACACAAAACTACAGAACAATTCATAGCTTTAGGTTATAGAACTTAATTTTGAAAGTATTTTTGTATTTTGTTATTTATAAACTAACTATTTCCCCTCCATTGACAAGATATTTTGAAAATTAAGAAATTTAAATTAAGAACTTTTCCTCACCATTAAAAAGGTTTTTATGGCAATCCATGTTTTAGGTATATTAAGGGAAGCCCTAGCGCATGTCCTCACTAAGTTACAGAACTTCTGGGTCTCCTGGGAGTTTGAAATAAAATAGTCAAAGAACAAGATAGAATGTAAAAATTACGAGTTACAGTATACAAATTTTTTACGGGTTACTCCCTTCTTTACCAGATTTCACTCCATCAATCTGGACAAAAAAATGTTGTTTTGTGTTCAACAAAAGAGTTAAATTAATGGTTTGGTTCATAACCAATTGAGTGGTTGTAAATGGTGAGGAAATGTTTAGTATTTGGTCAACTATCCCTTTAAGTGTTAGTAAAAGCATATGTTCATGTAGTTATTAAAAAGAGATCATTTTAAAATACACTTGCATGATGACACGGAGTCTAAAGCTACAGTGCTCAGCATAAATACACCCTTCACAAATCTATCTTTTAAATCATATTTTAATAGGAAGCTATACAATATAATTTTTGTGCATATACATTAGTCAGTACTGAAGCCAAATCTGGAGCTTATCTACAAATAACTTACGATAACTGCCCAAAATCTAGTACACCCAAATTTTGTATGTTAAAGAAAAACATTTTTTTTTAAATCTTAAAAAGAGGAAAAAGAGGAAAAATCAAGAGAAGCAAAAAAAATTAGTTGAAATTTTGTAGGTTGTCATTGCAATATTTAGCAATGACACTTGCAATATTTAGCATTGAATTTAATTGCATTATTTTTTAATTTCTAAATATGTTTGGTGACTAAATATTATTTTTATACATATATCTGTTTAATATATCTGTTTTGTTTAAATGCATTAAAATACATAGCCTATATTCACCGAAAAATTTATAAAAAATATTCTTTTTCAAAATGGCGTGTACTCAATTATGCAGAGCACTGTATTTGTTGCAAGATAGTCACGACCCCATATGACTTCCTTCAACTGACTAGAAGAAACTTGATGAACCGAGAGGGGTGAAGAGAGTCCTGTTTGTAGAGAAGGGGTCAGACAGCGTCCGGACTTCCCTGACCCCAACCGCAGAGGTTGGCGGAGGAGATGACATGTAGGTCACCACATCCACATAATGAGTGACAGACGAGCGCGGGCACAGACCCAACACCCTCTCTTCCATAGATTATCAGGCCTGATGAACAGAGCAACTGTCTGTCTCATGAATAACTGGAAGTAAACACACAATGGAATGAAATGCAGCTGCGTTTGAGTTGGAGGAGAGATGGATGGATGATTTAGAACAAGTCGCAGGCCCCATTCGCAAACCACTCTATAGTAACACGCATGTGGGTTGAAGCCTCCATTTACCAGTGAGATAAACATTACAGAGTGGACAAGAAGCAGCACAGTATAAAGTGCAGACAAAACAGATGCTCCTGGAGATTTGGAGAAAAGATATGTTTACTCCACTTCCGTAAGCCATATGATACTACAGATTTGTTTCCAGAAGCGAGTACCGCAGCATTGAGACCTGTAAACAAATGAAGCATTCTGCAAATTACACAATAAAAGTTTGATGGTCCGATTGGCAATATGCCACAGATTGGGGTATCTCTGGTAGGGACTACCTACTGGGAGTTTTTAAAATGACTTGATACACAATTAAAAAAGACTGAAATGACTGAACATGCAGAGTTATTATGTATTGCTCAAGCCAGAAAAAAAATAGCAAATGATTAGACTCATTTTTTTTAAAATGCCAGAAAAAAAGATGTTTACTGCCAGATTAAACATTTTAATCTAGAGCAGTTTTTTTAATACAATGATTAATATGTATTGTAATGACAATTGGTCAAAATAAAAGAAAAAAAAAACATGGTTAGATAAATTTTTAGACTGAAAGACTTAAGAAATCAATATTTAGTAGAACAAACCAGTTGTGAATTCAAAACAAACCACATCATTGTTGTTTTAACCAGATGTCATTTTCTGAATAATAATAATAAAACTTATAATTTGAAAAAAAAAACATATGTATAATATGATTAATATTATTTTTTTATATCATAATAAATATAATACTATTTATTATATTATATATATATATATATATATATATATATATATATATATATATATATATTTAACTCAAAATAAACGTATCAAAACATGACTTACATGTTAAGTCAATGCAAACGTGCGAATAGACATCCTGTGGTGCGATACGCGTGAATGGCGCAGCACGAATGACGCGAATTGACGCGCTTAACGCATGCTTCAGGCAAATCGCTCGAGTTCAAAAATCTGAACTTTACCATACATTCGCCCTACACTACCAAATCGATTTAGCGCCTGTTGTTGGTGTCCCGGGGGAAAATCCTCCTGCACACACCGACAACAGTACATCAAACTTTGCTTGGCTCAGTCAGAAGCACAGATGAATGCTTTCATTAAGTTTGTGTTTAAACACTGGGTGCACCTCTGAAAGGATTTAGTGGACACTGCTCCAAACGTATCAACGCTGTTTTTCAGCCTTCAAAAAAGCACATAAAAAGTTATTTTCTCAATAAAATCCATGTTAGCTATTTAGTAACAAAGCTACAGTCACCTAGCAGACAGAAGCCCTGCCCATCACGCGAATCCACGTCTGTTCTGAAGTGAATTTGATGCGATCAATCGGATTTGACGTGCCAATGAAGGGGATGCTTCTACTTATTTTTATTTTTTTATTATTATTTTTTTTTATATTATTAATTTCTTTTTTTCCTTTGTCCCTTTATTTTAATATGTTACTATCAGAAGTCACCCAGTACTGGGAAACACCCATACATTCTCATATTCACACACACACACACACACAAACACACACTTTGGCCAATTTAGCTTATCCAATTCACTTATCTTTGGACTGTGGGGGAAACCCACACCAAGTAAGGGAGAACATGCAAACGATGCTAACTGGCCCAGCTGGGACTCGAACTTTCCTGCTGTAAGGCCACAGTGCTAACCACTGAACCACCATGCCTCCTTCTTGATGTTATTTATTTAATAAAGTTTGTTTGTTTGCTATATAAAATAGGTGCACTGAGCCAGAGACACATAAAAACAACAGAAAGCATCTGTCAGCACTCCTTTTGCTAAAACAACCCGACAACACCAAGCAACTTAATCGTCTTGTCATTGAAGTTAATGAGTAACACTATCTATTTCGTAATGAACTTGTGCTTTCCTCACTGGTAACCTTAGCCCGGCTACTAACCATAACCTTACGCCACAACGCCCTACATGCTCATTATCAAATTAAACAGCGAGTCTAAGAATATGCATGAGAGACCCATAGAAATCAAGCTTTTGTATTTCTGGAGCAATACAGGATTTTGAGGGTGAAGCTGTGTGTCTTGGCTTTACGTCTTGGCTCGACACTGTGAGAATTTCTGCATGTGGGCGTCTGCCAAGCGTCTACATGGCTGAGGATGGTCCTGCACATAAGGTACGGCCGATGTAGTGAGTATCATCCTGCATTGCTG